ACGCCCACCCCCACACATTTTTAACTTAAAAATGTTATGTTAAGTGTTCTTACTATGAAGTGTTTCCCTTGGAGTGCTGTGCTTTATAATCCATAAATAAATCTAAATCAAGTTTGATTTTAAATAAAACTAGATGAAATTCTACTGATCTAATCTGGATATTATGTCATTGCAGCCATAAAAAAAGAAAGATTTAGAGGTGAAATTATAATATAAAGACACTGAAATCATGTCTCACACACACATGCAGCTAACACTGAATACTAACAGACTTAATATGATATTTATTTGATTTGATTCATCACTTTAAAGAAGTCGAGTGTCTTAAATATCTGAATCTCTCTCTCTCTCTTTTAGAGCAGAACGGGATCGACTTCAATCGACAGGTGAGTCACAGAGTTCTTGATAAATTACTGCACTTTCTGTGTTCATATTCCTACGAATGAGGGTTTCATGAATGAGCTCTCTGTGATCGGGAGGATTTGGATTGTTTTGTTTAACGTGTAGCAACCTTTTCCTGCATGCTTGGACACAGTATGTTTGTATCCAGATCAGTCAGGCTGACACTGCTGCACATGTGTGCACTTTCATGGTGTCTTTTTAAGAAATTCCTCCTCTTTAAATAACTGAAACTGCCAGTAAATATAGAAAAGTCAACCGAGGCAACAGGAGCTTGTTACAACAGACGTTTCGCTGTTTGGATGTTACAGGATAAGTCTGATGTTATTTTGTAGTTTTGTTTTTATTGTTATTAGTTTTTATAAAAAGACCAAAAACCAACAAAGACTTCTCAATACTCTTTAAAAACAGGTCACAAATATATACTTTATTTTACAAAAGGCTCAGTAATTTCTTTAAAAAGCTGCTCAATGTAGTTTTTTGCAATTGTTACTCAAACAGCAGGAAACATTTGTCAGGGACTATTTTTGCTCATCCCCCCTCTGTCCTTATTTCCTGTCTATCTTTAACTATTCTGTCAAAATAAAGGCAAATAAATACAGAGGATATCTTTAATAAAAATAAGTTATTTAAAAAATCTATCAGTTATGCTTAATTCCTAAAATAATTATACTATAGAAGAACCAAACAACAAACGCAATTACGTTCATGATGTTTGTTTGTTTGTTCACTGTGAGCAGGAATCAAGACAATGGATTAATGTCAAAAAGTAGCAGCAATACAGCAGGAAACACGGAGGAAAAGGTGAAAAATAAAACAAAAACAGAGCCAACGACAGCAAAGAAACAGACTGAGCCTTAAAAGAGTTTTAGCACTACAACAACAAAAACTTTTCTTTTTGAGTTGTGACAACTTCTAATGAAATTATGTTCAGCTAAATGTGCTACATTGAGTTCGGGGAATTAGCTTTTCCTCTACAATCAAAGGTATTTTTAATGACCACTTAATCATTGGTAGCATAAACACCAGTTTTTAAGTTGATTAGGCTACTCATTAAAATGTACATGTACTTTTATCTAAATCAATAAATTAGAAAGTGTTAAAAGGTGACAACAGATCCACTGAATTACTTTTCAGTTGCCTGCTGCCACAGAGAACAACAACGATCCTCACAATTAAATGTTTCTCACTAAATATTAAGTGCCACTTCTCAAAAAGAGTTCGAATTAAATGCAACCACGGGGCCATTCTTCATCATTTAGTGACAACTGACATTTTGAATTGAAATGAAAAGTGAGTTTTTCTTATATAATATTCAGTCTTTTTTCATAAAATGGTAGAAAATGCCCAAGAAAAAGCAATTAAAGGTGAGGGATATTCATTATTTTCAGTACACACATGTGACAGGCTCCTATTGGCTGAATCTCAGAAACTACAAGGAGCATGTTAAAGTACTTGGTAAGACATGCACACAGATGCATTGATACCAGTGTTGTTTTTCATGTGATCTGAAAATGTAGAGTTTGTACTGTTAGATACTCGTCCAAAGTATGTCCGTACCACATTAAAAGACTTTAGACCAGTCAGAACAAATGTTTTTGCTCTATTTACAGCAGTAGGAGCCATGTTCATCTTAATGAAGGAACACATCTCCCAGTGGCTCATTCATGTGTTTTTAATAGTATTTTTTTTTTACCAACAATGGAGCTTTGAGGTGCAGAGGAATAAGAGATATCAAGCTAACAATTAGTAGGATTAGTTCAGTGTTGGTTTTGGTCTTTTCGTGGGATTTGGTGATAATAAGAAAATTACCACAAGATTTTCTGCATCTTGTGTCAGACTTCACACTGACACAGAGTTACAATATAAACACCCTGGACAAGTTTCAACTGACAAACCACCTGCTCTCCTCTCAGATGTCAATAATGACAAAACTCCTCAAATAGTTTGCAGCTATTTGGAAACTTTCCCAAACATTATTTTTTTAAGCAGGGGAGGACATTTTCTGTCAGTGCTCGTGTTTTCAGGAAGTGACATGAATTTCAGGGGTTGAGTGGGGGTGTGGGAGGAGGAGGGAGGGGGTGGTATTTGCATACTGGCTTGCCCGAAGGGAGGGAGAGAGTCTATCACTCTTTGTATCATGTTTTAGTGACCAAACTGGTCCTGGAGCGAGTGAGTCCATGTGTGTACAGACAGTGCACACACAGAGTCACACACATGTTAACATGCACTCATTTGCCCCCTGAGATTATGCACAGACATTGTTTCTCTACAAAACTCTTTATCATATAATGTACTCAGAGTTAATGCTGTTTGGTTGCGCTTCCTTAGATAAAGACAGAAGATATCCACGACTCACCTCACTCAGCCTCCACGCTGAAGACATGTCACCTGACGCAGAGCTCTCCGATGCATGGAGGTCAGCTGACTGGGGTGAGACACTCAACGGCTGTGGTGATTTTTACATCTGAAAGGATTTACTGAAGTAAAAGTGCAGAAATATGATAATGAAGAAATATAAGAATCTTTACTCATAGAGCACTTTTTAAAATCCATGTTACAAAGTGCTTCACAAAACAATTAAACACAAATTCAAAAAAGATTCAAGCAGATAAAACAAGTAAACTATAAAACTATTTAAAGCCCCTATAAGGAACTTTCATTGGGGGCGGCCCCCGTGGACAAAAGTTGTAGTGTTTCTGTCTCCTATATCTTTGATTTCAAGGGAAGACAATAACAAAAGAGAGAATGAACAACATATTCATATATTCTGGGAAATGTGGAAAAATGCATCAGAAGCACATTATTTGTATATACTTCTTAATAGATATGTCCAGAGGGGATCTTTAACATAGAAGTCAAAATTTGGGCTTGTACTATTTCATAATTTTGAATAAATAATTCTTATTTTCTCTCTCAATCTCATAAATCTAGCTTAAACATTCTGACTTTACAACTCCTAATTTTTACTCAATCAAAATAATAATCAGTTTTTTGTCTTTTCCTGGCACCAATGGGCTTCCATACAAGAGGAACCTGATTTTATTAACGGATTATCTGTCTCATGCGTCAGGGTAGTTTAGTGTTTACAGGTGAGTTGAGACTCATTTCGTTGTGTTGTTTTTTGTTTTTGCTCCAGGAACTCACCTCTCTTCACACCATGCAGCAGCTGGTTCTGATGCCACCGTCTCACCTGTCCTCTCCGTCCCCCTTCCTGCTCTCCCAGGGTCCCACCAGCCACCAAGGTCTGAAAGAAGTTCCTATTAGTTGACACAACAAAGTGACTTATTTTCAGGGTTTTAAGGCTCCAGTTTTAATAAAACATTCCTGCAGTTCCTGTGTTCAGAGGCTTTCTATAAATGACCTTGAAGAGTTAAATTAGAAGATTCACTCTCATGTCTGTACAGTAAACACGTGTAAATCTACTGACACTAATTTCACGTTATATCTTGTTTTGTGTTTTTAATCCGTGCAAACATGACATGTTGTGATTTTAAGGAGGGTTATTACAGTAAAAAAAAAAGCAGGAATGTATTTATTAGCACGTTATTTTTAAGGAATAGTTCAACATCTTAAAAATGTTCTTCCTTTCCAAGACTCGGGAAGTTGATATGACATGTTACATACAGTGCTGGAGTCAGGACATGGTTAGCATAGCTTAGCATCAAGACTGAAAGCAGGGGGTTAACAGCTAGCATGGTTCAGTCCACAGTTTAAAAAAATACGTTTGAGCTAATTATGTAACACTTTTGTTTAATCCTGACACCAAATGGAGGCTAAAAAAAAGGGATTTGTGATTTTAGGGGGAACTATTTCTTGACGAGGAAGTTTATCCATTTTAAAGCTGATTAATTTGCATGTTTTTGTTTAATTTGTACACAAACACAAATATAAGAATCACAGTTTTGGATTAAGGAGCATGCTGGATGTATTTCTAGACAGTCTTGTTGTCACAAACAGTTGTTGTTTTCCTCTGCAGCCCTCCTGCAGCAGAACCTGCTGTCCCTTCCTAGCCAGAGTCAAACGAGTCTCCTTCAGCATCAGCCTGGACTGGCTCTGACTCCACAGGTAAGTCCAGACCACTTCCTGTCTACACTGTAAAACCTGACGAGTTAGTTCAACTCCAACTGTTTGAGGAAACTGTTTAAGTTTATTAAAGATATAAAAGATACTTGACTTGAGTAACTCAAGTATTTATTGTTGAGGGAACTTTGGTAAATTAAGTTAATTATACTATTTCTATTCAGTTATTTAAAACGTGTGAACAGAATTGATCTGAATAAAGTCACTTAAATGCATCTTCTTTATACGAATGTAAGTTCGTTTTCAGTTTTTTATTATATTTCCTGTTAAAACAACTGACGTACGATAAAAACAACTTATCCTTAGTTGATTATAAAAATTGTATTTAATTAATTTTCTGTGTTTTCTATGTGACAAACATTAAATCTTTACAGATTGAGGATCATTAAGGATTATTTGATATCGTATTTGAGCTTTATGATTAATAATAAACTGAAATAAGAACAAAAAATATAAAATCCTGAACTATACAGTATTATAATGCTTATATAAGTTACATTCACAGAGCTTCACTCTCTGATAAACAGCCTCGTTCTGCATTAGAAAACAACCACAGAGCTGATAAAACAATGAGAAGAAAACACTGAATTTGTCAAAAAAAAAAAAAGTCTATTAAATCTGCATGATTGTTCGAAAATATAAAATACATAATACAGACAGAGAAATGTGTAAAAAGGTCCCTAAAATGATCAGGAAAACTCATCAATATTCACCAGGAAATAATCTGCTTAAATTCATGCCCACATCGCTCCCATTACCAGCAAACTTGGGTTAATGGGGCCACAGTTAAGTCAGTTGTTCGTGCCACATCATTGAATATAACATGAAATATCTCTTTAGGAAAAAGGTTGGGAATCTCTTTGCTACAGGACAGTTAAAACCTTTAAAGTGAAGTTTTTCTCCGATGTTTCTCTGATTCAGGCTATGAGTCGCTCCGGTCTGGCGGGACCATCGATGGAGAACCACATGGACATGTCCCACCTGCAGATGCCCAAACACATGTCAGTCCCCCCGCAGGAAGAGGCCAGTGATCTGGAGGAACTGGAGCAGTTTGCTAAAGCGTTCAAACAAAGACGCATCAAACTGGGCTTCACGCAGGTAACTGAGAGGAAGAACTTTAGTATGTTGTCCTTTAAAGGTCCAGTGTGT